CGATGGGGTAGAATTTTTGTTCTATTCATGTGTACAGCTGAAATAACTGGAAAATTAAGTCATTGCACGAACTGAAAGCTTTGAAGTTTTGAATTGTACAATGTAATTTGTATTTGTTACTAATTGACGATTAATCAGCACTGGAGAATTTATAGTTCAACTTGAGGCAGTGAAAGCTTTTCACTATCTTGACCAACTCTACAACACACTGAGGAAGAATAAATTTGAGGAAAAGTACTTTAAGTGAAATAACATTTAGAGCATTGAAGTTACTAAATTATACTTAATGCTTCATTTAAAGATTTTATTATGTGCCTGAGTTTGCTGTGGTACTTAATGCTATCTGTGTTAGTTAAAACTTGTCTTTGCGCCTTCAGATTTTAACATTTGTGCTTAGTAGGTTGCTGAAAATACAAGTTCTATAATTGAAAGCACAAATGAGTCTACAGGGGCAAAAGTGTGTATTAACTCGCATTAACTTCTTGAACCTGAAGGATTGTGAAATTAACAGTGCAATGACTGACAAAGAAGTATCAGTTAAAGCAGGTGAATTCAATATCAAGTCAAGTACAGAAAGAAAGATAAAGAGAGTGGAAGGAAGATTGGATTAACGGAGATTAGGAAAAAAAGAGACTGAAAGGAAGTAAAAGTAAACTTTCGATTTTAAAAATCTCCACAAGCAATTAAATTGTTATTGAATGAAACTCTACACTTGTAGACATTTTCCAATCAACCTGTTTGAAGATATTATTACACATTTCCTGGATCAGGTAGGACTTGAACACAGGCCTCATGGCTCTGAGATAGGGACCCTCTCACTGATCCACAAGAGCCCTTGCTGTGCTTATCATTATTTTTCATTGTCACTGAGGTTGATTGACAGCAATTAACACATCATGTTTTTAAAATGGTACAGAGAATTGAGGTGAGTTGACAGTGTTCTGTTCAGTTTATATCAACTTAACAAATTTCCCACCATTGCAGTAGTCAAGCTGATGACTAAATGCTTGTATTTTAACAGAACAAAGTCAGCAGCAGCTTCTGGAATTTTGAGTTGAATTGTAAATTTGCTTCTTGTCTGAAATTGCTGTACCATTGTACATAAATAATGATGGGTGTCATTAGCATCACATTATATTGATAGCTCATGATCTGACACTGTCAATATTACATGCAACGATTTTCCCTCACTCTCTCTCATTCACACTAAACCCTAAACTATTAACCTTACATGTCTGCTGCACTGCTAGCTTACTCACTCAGCACATCTTTCTTCAACCTCCACCTACAGCTGTGCCGGCTACTTTCATCTCACTCCATCCCTGCCCTTGTCTCACTGAGGGAGAAAATGGCCCACAGATGGGTGGATATAACCAAGATGGGTAGTTGGTCACGCAACATTCATCTCCTTCCTCACCTCCTACTATGTCTGTCCCTCTAGTGATGCTGAAACCCTGATATCAAGACAACTAAAGAAGAATCACTGTCTATTGTTGCAGTGCCCTCCCATTACCGCCACTGTGAATGTATTCATTACATGTTCAAACTTCTACTTTGTTCCCCAACTCCTTCTCTCTTTCCTCTCCTGCAGGTACCACTGGCCTCTGCAGGCTCTTCCTTCAAAAGGTTAGCCCCACAAGGTATCATGTCCTTCTCCAGTTCTGAGGAAGAAGACACAGACCCCTCAGTACTGGTAATCTGTCTCCTGCGAACTACCCAGGCTCAGATACTGATCCCTCGGTGGGTACTGCAGTTAGATTAGAGTCGGAGCATGAGCTGGTGAACACATCACCGCCAAGCCTCTGCAGTTGGTCAAGGAAGAAATGCCTGAGGCCGCTAGCATTCAGAGAACTGCTGGAGCCCAAGTACCTGCGCAGCCCCAGGCAGGAGAGGGCTCTGTGATGCCAGCCATTAGGGACTTTATGTAAATCCACAGCTAAAGGCAGGGGCAGCAGGCAGGTTTATTTAGAGGCACAGGGCAAATTGACTTGTTTGTACCCTGCTGCCTCTGGCGTGGGAGTGTCTGGCTGCCTCCGTGGAGAGGTTAGCAGCTGCCATGGAGTCAGGTCCAGCACAGTCAGAGTCTGCCAGATAAAGGCACTGACCAACACTCCACTCAAATGCGTCATCCACTATCAACCCAGGAGCTTGGACATGATCAGTTAGCCATTTTGGGTAGATAGGGTATGGGGAGAGGGCCGTGGTCAGTCCTACAGATCCAGTTCAACCAGTTCAGGGCTTTACAGTGAGTAGTCAGAGAGCTCACAGATATCAGTTAGGGGCCTATTCAGTCATCAGCCAAGGCTGTCTCTTGAAGTTGGTCAGGGATTGGACCCTGCTCAGTCCTAGGGTCTGACCACTGTAAGTCAAAGCGATTTATCAAGGGCCAAAGCTATGGAAGGGAGGCTGGGGAACACAATTCTGAGGATTTGAGGCAGTTTGCTGAGATGTAGAGAGGACTTTGTGTGAGATTAGCTGCTAATGGAATGCTAATGCATGCAAATAGGCCCCTTCAGTGAGATTCTTACCTCACCAGTCAAAACATCATTACAGCTTCTGCAAATTGAACATGATTTGAAACATCCAAACTAACTTCACATCAAAGCCACCAGTGCTAGGATGAAAGTTTTTTTCTTGTTTTGCACAGATGCAGCACAGATAGTTCAAACAGCAGAAATATTCACCTAGCCTACAAATCCCTGGACACTATCGGCAATCTAGCATGGCCAATCCACCTAACCTGCACATCTTTGGACTGTGAGTGGAAATCGGAGCACCCAGAGGAAACCCATGCAGACATGGGGAGATTGTGCAAGTAGAATTCGTATGATAGTAGCATCAATAACAAACACTAGAACCATTATTTTAAGCTTTGTTGAGGAAAGGAGTGAATGTGTAAGATTATAGACTGAGAACTCTATTTCAAATTGATAAAATTAATAATTAATTGGTAATATGTTGCATCATTTTTACCAGCAATGTCATATTTGTTATTGTTTCTGCAATGGACAAGATTGTAAATTTTAAAACAAATTGTTCTCCCTATTCTCATGACCTGTCCATAAGCAGATTCATTTCCCAGTTTTTAAGCTGTGATTTTTAAAAATTCAATCATGGGATGAGGGCATCACTGGCTATGCCAGCATTTATTGCTCATTCCTAATTGCCCAGAGGGCAGTTAATGGTAAGTTACTATGGGTCTGGAGTCATATGTCGACCAGACCAGATAAGGATGATAGCTTTCCTCCCTAAATATGGGTTTTTCTAACAATCCACAATGGACTTGTGGTCAACATTAGTCTCTTAATTTCAGATTTTTAAAAAATTCAAATTTCAGCATCTGCCATGGTCAGATTTGAACCCTGGTCTGCAGCTAAATCTCTGGATTAGCAGTTCAATGATAATACCACTAGGCCTTCACCTCTCCCCATTACCCCACAAAACTCCTACTCCCTCTGTTTGTGGGCTCTGAGTTCACAAGAACCACAACAACACTGTTGTAAAGTGAAATAGAAGGATGGTTTCCTTGGCACAGGGGAATATTCTGCAACACAGGCATGTTTGTACCCATACAAGGAGAAAGATCAAATTGTATAGGGGATTATTCAATTAGTAACAACTTAATTACAAAATAACTTAGGGGTACCATTTTATCCTTGATTTTAAGATCAAGTTCAAATCAAAAGCTGGAGTTAACAGTCTGAATTCCTTGGTTGGGGATTGGCTAGTTGGCTCACCAGTAGTTCAACAGCTGTAGACCATTTCTTTGCTTTCAAAATCTCTTCACATGTCTGCCAAGGATTATTTTTGCTGAAATGTAACTTCTGCTTCACTGGTTTGATGAAAAAAAGTTGCCAAGAGCACATATATGGGTCATTGGCTGAAATTTACAGACCAGTGACTTTTCATTTAATCGAGAAATCGGGTTTTGATGTTGTTGTCAGTACACGCTTTATGGCGTGGCATTGACCTCTTAAACTGTCTTCTATTTTGAAAGTGTATGGTTAAAATGCAGTTGGGTTCAGAGCTGTGAAAGTCATGTGACCAAGCCTTGTTGAGGTGAGAGGAGGTGTGGGGTGGCAACCATTGAGACAAAGGGTTTGCATTGCAGATAAACAAATATCTGTGGGCCGTCCCTGAGGGTAAGTGGAAAATTACTAATACATCTTCTTACCAAAAGATGTAACTTGTTATTCTATTGTGTAAGATTTTTGTTTAGAGACTATCATCTCTGTAGCAGGTTATAATAGTTAATATTCCAGGTTCGTTAGGAGTTACGTGAGGCATAAACTGTCTGGCTGACATTGACTTCTGAGAACTTTCTGGAACATTGCTGCTGAGCCATCAGCCTCGTTTCTGCAACAGTGGGAAATTTGTGAAGTAGATCTAAATTGTTTCAGAATTTGACAAAGCCAACCCCCGTTGGAATGCAAATATATGAAGTGGAATGAGGTTACAAAAGCAGCAGAGGGATGGTGAGGTCAACCCTGTAGTCAGAGAGGTTTTTCAGTGTTTGCCAATGACTGTACACAGTATGAAACTCCACTGGCAAGCAATGATTTATCGTGCAATGACATTACTGACACTACTGGAAGCTGGTTCTTTTAAATATCTCTCAGAGGAACACTACCTCTGTTGTAGTGAAGCAAGGTTACCACCTTGGATCAGGACTTACTGACAAAAGATGGAGAGATTAATGCACATGTTGTTATTAGTACTTGTGGCAGGGAAAGGTTACACCATGAGTTGGAAATCATCACAAATTGCTGGCTGATTTTCTGCTGCTGTGCATTGGCCTTGGCCTTGCAAAAATGACAGCTTTCTGTCGATCACCAGGTGCATTTCAGTACCAAAACAGAAATTGCTGGAAAATCTCAGCAGGCCTGTCAGTATCTGTGGAAAGAAATCTGATTTCCAGCATCCACAGTTCTTTTGTTTTTTTATTAGATGACTTTCAGTAAATTGCTTTAGAAAATTACAGCTGGCATTTCACTTCGCAACATTTTAAAGATGGAATCGATGTTCCTGCAAAGCCATTCAAACAATCCTGTTACAGAAGGGGAAAAACTAAAGCTGTAGAGTCTCATGTAAATAAATCTGTGAAGTTTTCAAAATATTTCTCTTTTATCAAACTTTTCTTTTTTTTTCACATTTTTCGAACTGCCTCTTAAGCGATTGATTGTTTTCACCTTTTTTTTGAGTTCCCCATATTTTCTTCTCCATGTTTACTGTTTTTTTCTGTATTCTTAATTGTATTAAGGAATTTCACTTTTGGTGCTATTGTTCACCAAGTTGCCCTGTTACTTTATCGCACTATCAACTTGCATTTGCAGCAATTTATGACAGAAAAGTGCTTGGAGCTGAAAGATGAGGCGCTCAGCACGAGACGCCCTGCTTCAGTATGTGCAGGGTCATTATCTGTGTTGCTGTTTCAGCTAGGGTATCAAATATCATTAATAAGAATAATATTGTTTTAAACTGTTGGTTTGGTTGTATTGTATTCTTACAAATATCTGGAAGTATTTGATTTGAATGATCACTGACGTGAAAAGTTAACTTCTTTTCTCCTGCTGCAGATGCTGCCTAACTGCTGAATGTTGTGTTCTAAGTCATTGCTGCCTCTAACCATGCATCCTGGTGCCCTAATGTGTGTTTCACTTAAATATGATAGCTGCATGGCAGAGCTCTATGGGCCACAGGTCAAAGTATCAATGAAAATCAGTCAAGGCATACAGAAAACAGATGGCCAAAGCATGTAGTACACTAAAGAGGCAAATAGTCATTTCATTGGACTGTGAAAATAATGGAATTTTATTTTGGGAAGTTAGAAGAAGTAATAATCTGTCCAAATTAAGAAAAACACTGCCAAAATGTCCCAGGAGAAACATCTTTGAGGTAAGCATGTTTCACTGGTATTTACATTAATTTTAGAGAGCTGACTTTTGCATGAAGTTGTGTTTAATCTACTTTCACCAAAAATCCTAACTTGTACTCTACAAATTTTACATATTTGAAATCCACAGGTTTTTCTATCTAGCTATTTGGCTTAAAAGCTGTAAATTGGATCTTGTGATTTGATTTAATAAATTTAAAAATACAAAACATGATGTCATAAACTCAAACTTCTGACTGGCTAAATTTTGTTCTTCAAACCTAATTGAAAACAGTTGTGAAAATACTGCTAACACATGAGTAATTGTCAAGCTTTCAATCAGCAGTTCCAGTGGAAGTTTTTCCACGACTGCTTAGCTTTGTGTTTTTCTAGCACACTTGGCAATTTCTAAAATTTCCAGAAAGAAAGTGACGATTGAACAGACATGGTGGATTCTCTTTGTGCTATGATTAGTTAACTGTGCAGACTAATCCCCAAGCATAGTGCTGGATTGTAGAATTATTAGCATCCAGCTGCTTTCTTTTTTGATTCAAAATCAATCTTCTGATTCCATTTTATTCTTAATATTTCCTTTTGAATTCATGAGGATTTCTAAATATTTCAACTAAGTTCAGTTGATGTTTTTGCATAATAATATATCCAAAATAGAATTGGGTGAGCTTGAAAGGAGTGTGCTTTGTGCTCTAGGCACCTGCTGCCACATTTCTGTTGTCTTTAAAAGATATTTAATGGTGATGGCAAGGCAGATCCCAGAGGGCGTGCTTAGATTAAGAGGGGATGCCATTTTGACACAGGCTGCCGTAAGCATTGCAGCATAGAGAACCAGTGATCATCCTCTTTGGATTTCTTCCTTCCCAGATATGCACGGCCTAAGAGATGCCTTTTACTGTCCTTGGAAAGCGACGTTTCATAAACAGAGGTTATAATCATGGACTGATTAATAACAGAATCTGCCACAGTGAAAAGCATAACTTCATTAAACACAGTTATTTCAGACTTCAGCTTTGCTGGTGTTTTCTGGTGCTTCATTCTGTGTTGATTGACGTAGAAATCTACTCTTGTGTAAATACCTGAAAGGAAAAAAGAAGCAAATAAGGTTGGTGTGAACCAGCTGCAATTATACCAGGCAACTGCAAATCTCTATAGAGATAACCACAGCCTCACCAGAGCTTTAGTAGGTATATTCTAAATTGATAATTCACAGGTTTATAAAATTAATTATTTTCAGCAACTTTTTTGTTAACTTCATAGAAAGGTTGATTTGCAATTTAAGTGCAGATTTAGTTTAAAACAGCTGATCAAATTCACAGGTCTTGGGATATTATTCATTTCAAATTACATCACAGCCTCACATATACAGATCCCTTGCATTTATATAGCACTTTAATGTAATAAAATGTCACAAGTTCCCTGAAAGAGGATAATCTGTCAAAACTTTTCATCAGGGCAAAGAAGAAGTGACCAAATGTTTGGTCAAAGAGGTAAGATTTAAGAATGCAAGGTGGAAAGGTGGAGAGGGGTAGGAAGGGAATTCAGACATTTGGACCCAGTCAGCCAAAGGCACTGCTACCAATGATGTGACCAAGAAAGAGGAGGGTGCACAGAGACTAAACGGAAGGAAGATGCAGTTTTCAAGTGGTTTTAGAACTGGAAGAGGATACAGAAATAGAGAAGCCGGGTTGGAGGTGGGGTGGGAAAGGGATGTAAACACAAGAATGACAATTTTAAAATCAAGGCATTCAGGGCCTGGGAGTCAATGTCAGTCAACAAGCACTGGGGTGAGAGGTGAACGGGACATAGTGAGGTAGGATATGGGAAGTAGAGTGTTAAATGGGGTGATCTTTATGAAGGTCAAATTCAGGAACCCAACCAGGAGATCATTGGAATGATCATGTCTAGAGTTAACAAAGGGGTTCCAGTCATAGATAAACTGAGGCAAGAGAGCAGATGCACATTATTATGGAGATAGCAATAGGCAGTCTCAATGGTAGAGAGATTTGGGGTAAGGAGCAATATCTCTGTTCAGAATTGCATTACGTAGTGGGATCTTAAAAAATGTAACTACTTAAAGAGGCACCTGCAAGAACAAACCAGAGCACACTAAATAGAGATGCACAGTTATATATAGACACACTTGCAGAAATGACCATGGGCATAATTACAAATATACATCCAAATATTAATACACATGTACAGCGACACCAGATGTCCACACATTGGCAAATGCATGCATATGCACATAAGAATATATCCAGATATGCAAGCTATCACATAGTTATAAACAAGGAAGAAGACAGAGGGTGGTGGTGGAGGATTGCTTTTCAGACTGGAGGCCTATGACCAGCGGTGTGCCACAAGGATTGGTGCTGGGTCCACTGTTTTTCATCATTTATATAAATGATTTAGACGTGAACATAGGATGTATGGTTAGTAAGTTTACAGATGAAATTGGTGGTGTAGTGGACAGTGAAGAAGGTTACCTCAGAGTACAACAGGACCTTGATCAGATGGTCCAATGGGCTGAAGAGTGGCAGATGGAGTTTAATTTAGATAAATGTGAGGTGCTGTATTTTGGAAAGGCAAGTCAGGGCAGGACTTAAACATTCCATGGGAAGGTCCTGGGGTGTGTTGCAGAACAAAGAGACCTTGGTGTGCAGGTTCATAGTTCCTTGAAAATAGAGTTGCATGTAGACAGCATGATGAAGAAGGCATTTGGTATGCTGGCCTTTATTGGTCAGTGCATTGAGTGTAGGAGTTGGGAGGTCATGTTGCTGCTGTACAGGACATTGGTTAGGCCATTTGTGGAATACTGTGTGCAATTTTGGTTTCCCTTCTATAGGGAGGATGTTGTGAAACTTGAAAGGGTTCAGAAAAAATTTACAAGAATGTGGCCAGCTATAGGGACAGGCTAAATAGATTGGGGCTATTTTCCCTGGATTGTCAGAGGCTGAGGGGTGACCTTATAGAGGTTTATAAAATCATGAGGGGCATGAATATGGTGAATAGACAAGGACCTTTCCCAAAGGTGGGGGAGTCCAAAACTAAGTGCATAAGTTTAAGGTGAGAGTGGAAAGATTTAAAAGGGATCTAGGGGGCAACGTTTTCACGCAGAACGTGGTGCATGTATGGAATGAGCTGCCAGAGAAAGTAGTGGAGACTGGTACAATTACAACATCTAAAAGGCATCTGGATGGATATATGAATAGGAAGGGCTTAGAAGGATATGGGCCAAATGCTGGAAAATGGGACTAGATTAATTTAGGATATCTGGTCAGCATGGACATGTTTGACTGAAGGGTCTGTTCCCATGCTGTGCAGCTCTCTGACTCTGTGATTCTCTGCACCTCGACAAAGAAATTTGCATACATACATAACTAAATTTGTACACTTGATGATGCAAGGTAAATGCACACCAATTTTCCAAGTCACAAACATGTACGGATGCTCACAATCTTATGGATAAGAGGTATGATATAGTATTATACTTTTTCAGGCCTTAATAGTACTCAAATATAATAGAACATATGTCTTTAACATTCATTATTGTTTTTCATATTATACATATCAATCCACACTGATGGAAGTATCTTATCCTTCAAGTGTTGTCTTATTTCATATATAGAGTATTTGATTTGTAGTATTTGAACATTGATCCCATTACATGGTGTAACTAGATAGACTTGCATTGTTTTTAAAACAAAATCACTATTTATCATGTGCATCGGCGTAATATTTAGTTTGATTACATCTAAAAAATCTTAGGTGTTTCAAGAAAAGGGACTATTTCACATAATTCTTCAAATTAAATTGTTTCTTGCTAAAATAGACGTTGCTTACATAGGTTTTCAGACAGTTATTTGTACTTTTTGCTAAATGGGAAGACGACAAATAAAATTCAAAACAGGTTGAAACTCAGGACTTTACATCATATGAAAGTATTTGTAGAGAATGATATTTGATACCTGCAATATATTAAATGATGCATTGTAGACCATACATAATTAACTAAGTAAGGATAATGATCTGGTGACAGTTAAATTCTTCCCACTAAGTGCAATTAATCACTCACTCTACAAATAATTAACTGATTTTCCTTTCATTGTCATTCTGGTATGTTGGTCAACTGGTTTGTAGAAGGTTTAATTCTAGCCTCTGGAAACAATTATGCTAGAACAGAATGAGAAGTCACACCACTGCCTTGACAACATTGATTTTCTGAGATTTGCCTTCTTTAAATAAGGAGGGGAGGGATAATGAAATGCACTCTGTCATATTCTGAATATAGTTCTTCAACTACAGAAAACATAAATGTCTCACTTAAATTGTTTGGGAGATAGTGCTAAATGGGTAAAGTCTGTTTTCTTTATTAGATATCAACAAGATTTTTGTATGATTAATTTTTTTTCTCAATTGTAATCAAAAGTAACTTATTTTTAAATCTTAAAATGCAACTTTGAATTCTGAGCCCAAATACAATGGTTTGAGACCTCTTGCTTGACAGTAACTCATTTTCCTGGGGCTTTTGATATGCAGTGGACTCTGACAGAAGGAGCTTAGCAGCTACAACAAGGAGAAGGTGATGCTGGAGTGGCACCATTGCTACAACAACAGAAGAGTAAGCAAGGGACCGCCACCTTTGACCTTATTTCAGGTGTTTTCACGAAGCAGAGGTAAAAGAAGCAGACAGACTAAAAAAAAATGTTCTGGGACTCTAAATTCCATTTGCCTCTCAGCTTTTGCATGCAGCAGACGGTAGGGACTGCCAGCAGTGATCTTAGATGTCACACAAAGTGTTAGGGAATATAAAAACCATGGAAGAAGCTTGCAGAAAGCTACAGAACAGAGGGATTTTGATTTGGGAATTTTCATGCATGAATCACAAAAAGCTAGCATCCAAGGTCAGTACATAATAGGGAAGGCAAATGGAGGTTGTCCTTTATATAAAGGGGAATGAAGTATAAAAGTAGGGATGTTTTGTATATGGCTTTAGTATACAAAGCACTACTCAGACCACAGCTGGAATATTGTGAACAATTTTGAGCACCTTATCCAAGGAAAGATACACTGGCGTTAGAGGCAGTCCAGGGAAGGTTCAATCCGCTGATACCAAATATGGAGGGACTGTCTTATGAGGAGAGGTTGAGTGGATTGGCCCAGTACTCATTTAGAAGAATAAGAGGCAACCTTATTGAAACATACAAAATCCTTAGAGAACTTGAAGGCTAGATGCGGGCAAGTTTTTTTGCCCTGTGGGAGAGTCTAGGACAAGAGGCAACAATCTCAGAATAAGGAGTTGCACATTTCAGACAAAGATGAGGAGGAATTTATTCCCTCAGAAGATGGTGTCTGTGGAATTCTTTTTTTATGATTACAGAGGCTGTAAAGACTAGGAGGTTAGGTATATCCAAGGCTGAAATAAACAGATTTTTAATCAGTAGGGGAATCAAGGGTCATAGGGAAAAGGTAGGAAAGTGGAGTGGCAAATTATCAGGGCAACCATGATAAATGGCAGAGTAGACTCGTTGGGCTGACTGGCCTAATTATGGTTCTACATTTTGGTCGTAGTGCATCATTAGTGATGTTAGTGATGTCAGATCACATGGATCAGTAGCCTGATGAAAGAACGTTCCAGTAGAGACAAAAACAAAGTTGCTGGAAAAGCGCAGCAGGCCTGTCAGCATCTGTTAAGAAATAAACAGAATTAACGTTTTGGGTCCAGTGACCCTTCCTCAGAACTGGAGGCTCCACAGTTCCAGTGGGGCCCTAGTAAAGTCTGTATAAATAGTGTAAATAGTCAGCGAATATGTCCAGTTCTGTTCTATCAAAGGCACTCAGAATCCAGTCATGATAGCAATGCACTGAGCTTGGAGGAAGGTGGAACATGGATGGCTGCAGTAAGGAAAATCCAGATTATTGCTGTCCTGCTGTTTAAACACTCCGTTTTCTGGCTGCTTCTGTGGTTATCCCACCAGAACAGGTCAGTAGAAGGAGAACAAAGGAAAATTATTTCTCAGTTCCAAACCTGAGTCCTTGGTGTCACATGTTTTCCCTGTTTTAATGCAATATTAGC